TATTACTTTAAATGTCTGTTCTGGAAAGCAATTGTTTCGTCGGGAGTCGAAGTTCATTAATCGAAGATGGTTATAAACCGACAGAGGTGTTTTTTGGTTACCCCTACCTAGACAGTACTCAGTCTAAAAGAGCATTGTTTGGCCGCCGTAGTAGACCGAACTCCACAAAGGGGTTGCCAAAAACTGTTTTATACTATATATTGTACCAAGGCTGTACATGAGCATTCGATTGTATTAAACGGTGCGGGCGGCGACAGAACAATAAACCGTTTACATTATGACTATTATTGATGGCTATTATTTGGGGAACGGGCTTTGTACTGTGTACATACTGGTACTACATAAAGATTATATAGTGTATGCCTAATAAATGCGAGATTCCTCGCGCGTGATTATGTTGAGGTACGATTGGAAATTTCCTTTAAGTAGTATCTTCACAAAACAGATGTAGCAATGGCTGGGCATATAGTATGATGCACAGAGAAAAGGTAAACTTTAAAGACAACTAATATATGGAAAGGGCCAAAGGGACAAGAGGGACCCCTAAAAAAAAGGTGAAAAATGAGTATATATAATATATATATAAGCGTTAGCCATGAATAGAGAAATTTGGAAAAAGATATTTATACAGATAGGAAATAAACGGGCTTTAGTATATTATTATTATTATCTTCTCAGTAGTGAGGGCTGTAAGACCTTTCTATTCATTCATTTGATAAGGTACATTTCTGAAAACTAAATTCTATAACCAACGTTTCTATCAAAATTCTTGAAGTGACTCAGTAGTTATAATAAGTATATCACTCAATATATATGTATAGCAGCAATAAATTGTTTATATTTTTGTGTTTTATCCCTTTATCAAAGTACAATAATTGCAGTAGCCCAAGTATTGGTCAAGTCTTTCGTCGCTTCTTTATCTTTATAACTCTTCTTTCATCTTATAATTACCGTTTTATATGAACAGTGTTGGCCTATGGCTTGGCCATGCAATTCTCAACGTTCGTTCGAATCATAGCTGTACTCTAATGCACTCTTCTTTCCATTTTAACACTAGCTTCTAGTGTAGGAAAACATCGCATGTTTCAGGCACAGAAGGCCGATCGGCTTTGCTTCGTTATAAAAAAAATACCTACCTAGATTTTTTTGTTATAAAACTTACACGTCTAATTGTTACCTCCTCTTTCGTGAATTGATACCCCTAAACTTTAATTGTACTGAGAGTCAATCTTTATTTAAAATATTCGTTAGGTTAGTTAAAGTTAAAGTTACACACAAGTACAGTTTAAAAATTTTCTCAAAATATTAAGATTAAAACCATTAAGACTATTATTATATTGTTTTAACTAATTATTATAGAACTTTATTCACATTAACAGAATTACAATTTTATTTTCATGGTTACTTATTATTTTGCCAATTGCACGTCGCAATCTAGTACTTTTAGATAACCTATAATATCTACCTTAAATAATAAAAACGTTCAAGAAACCTTCCATAATTACATGCTAAATAAGCAAACTTAATAGCTATAATAATTAAATTTTAACTGGATATAACATAAAATGTATGCAACTTGTAATTGCTATCAATTTACCATCATGCAATTAGAGTACTTTGTTTCGTAAAAACCATAGTTGAGGCCTAGAAATTTCCATGTAATTTAAGCGGTTTTGATAAATTATGTATATTACGAGAAATTCAAGTAAAATATTATTATGTAATTTTAATACTTGATTCGTCAATTTTAGTACCTGTTTGGAAAGTTTTCTATCAAGAAACGGTACGATGCTCAATATAAACTTCAATAGAGTTGAAGCGAAATATAAGAATAATATTGAAGACTAGGGAAGAGACAGGACAAGGTTAAGGTAATCGTTTAAATCATTTTGATTTACAATAACTCTTAACTTTTTTAGTTTTTTTTTATGTAACAGGAGGCAAACGGACAACAGGAGGCTCTCCTGTTGTTAAGTGAAACCGCCGCCCATGGACACTTACTTTGCCTTTTAAGAATTGGTATTGGTAAGATCTTTTTAATTCAACTACAAGCTAGCGAGGATTTAGAGAAGTGTTTCCCAACGTGGGGCCCACGCCTACAGGGGCAAGGGGCAATTTGATTGTTAAGTCGAAAATTTATTAAAATTATTTGGAATTTTAATTTCAGTTTATCATTATGTTTTGAAATTTTACTTACTGTGTTTCGTTAACAATATCCTAGTAATTTCTTCCTCAAATCTATAACTAAAGTAACTTAAGTGAACAATTTATTTAATATGAATAATTATGTATGTATTACATAAGAATCTTAGAAAGGCTAAGGCATGGGACAAGGTTGGGAATCACTGATTTAGCGGGTCTATGTACTAATTCTAATGTTCACCGGAGTCTGTGAATAAGTCCATGCATTTTATGAATTTCGGATTTGTGGTTTTGCTCTCGAAGAGATCTAGCAGAAGATTGGATAGTCAAGTGTGTTACACTATAAGCTCTTTCATCAAAAAGTTCTTTCGCAAGTGGGAAGATACCATCAGAGAGTCGGTTTTGTATTACCAGTCTTTGGGTTCGATCTAGCCAAACATTTACGCATAGTACAGGCCAGTTGAAGCCAGGGAGGGCTCTACACAGCGGTAGGGTACTAATTAATGGGGTGTACCTGGCTATCCCTACCTAAAAGACATAGTAGGCCGATCACCAACTTACCTATAAGGAAATATGGTCCAACATAGTTACCCGTATGCGTAGATTTATTGGACTATTTTTGATTATGTTTAAGTAGTTCTCCTATAATCAAAATAGTATACGTTGAATCATTTAGAGAATGAGTAATAATAATCGGTTGCAACAACGCAATCGCGCCGACCTTGGAACAGCCGATTATCAATGGAAAATTTACAAGCACATAAGTAATTATATATTATTTGTGTCAGGTGCATTATGTTCGGCGGTTCAGACGGCGCGGCGACGATGATAACTGCATTCCTACTTATTTTTACTACCTAATGACATTTTACTATTGTGCGAAACTGAAATTTCGGTTTTAATGTTATCTTTTCCCCATTTAGAGATTACGGTAATCTCTAAATGTGGAATCTGATTACCCTTAACCATTAGGTAAGAGTGAAAGTAAGCTTTGTACTAAAGATTGAAATAGTCTTAATATCAAATAATTCCTTAAGCTCAAACTGGACTCTTTAAAAGAATTCATATTTGTGGTCTAGAAAATGGGGACTAAGCTAAGGTCGAAAGAAAGAGAAACTAATGACAAGGAGGCAAACTAATAATGGTTATATGCCATATCGACATGTGGATAATTTACGTCACAGACAGATAAATTAAAATGAACGTGATGAACGACAGGCGATTTTTCGTCTGTTCCGGTTATAGTCTAGTCAAAATTTAGTTAAAGTAAACAAAAATAGTAGAAACTAGAAAGTTTCAAGGTCAATAAAATATTTAATAATAGAAGTATTGACCCATCACACGGGCTACAGGAGCTAATAGTTTCAACGAAACCAATAAATAAGACATATCTCCGATAAACTTGTACAAAATGACCTACAGCTTGACTTTCTGGACTTTCGCGATAAACGTGTAATCGGAGTGATTTGCGTGACGTCTCAAGATTTATTGCAAAGTACGGTTTCTATATACAGTGTAACCTCTTTATAACGTCATTCGTTGTAACGAAACAGTCTCTATAACGTAAAATTGAGTTAAATTAGTTGGTTTAATCCAATACATTAATTAATCCCTCTCTATAACGAATAAAAGTGCTCGGTCCCTTGAAATTCGTTATAAAGAGTTTACACTGTATTATGCTTTTATGAGCATTCGTATATTATGCGCTATGTACAGGTGACAATTTTTTCTTCAGCTAATATCAAGTCTTCTTTCAAATGAAAGGACTTAAATTTATTAATAAGGAGTATTTTTTTTAAATGTAATTAGAGGCAAGTGACACTCACATTGCCAGAAAGCTCGCAAGTGCGTTGCCGACCTTTCAAGAATAAGAAATGTAACACACCTGCTACCTGGTGGTAATACCTTGGAAATTGAAGAAGCCGCTGGCTCAGCCTTTAGATTTATTCGAGTAGGCTTTTTAGATACGTCAAAGATAAGATAATAATAACTGCTTTGTTTACGAGTGTTATCTCGGTTTTGTATTAATAAATTATATACTACGATATTACATTATACTATCTAATGATAACCGATTGGAAAGAACAACAAGTGAATGATTACGAAAATTTAAGGTTATTTTGATAATAGATGCCACACCACCTTTCTTTGGAACCCTGTGGCAATTAAAAACAAAAATATTTTCTATGTTTCTAGATTATCTTTTAGATATTGAAGGTCATAAAAGTTTACATTAGTTAGTAAGTTTAAGTTCCCACTAACATTATGTTAAAACTTTCACACACGTAATCTTTGTTATAGTGGTTAAAAATTAGGCAAATATTAAAATGTTGATCAAACGATTAAAACACTACGATATGTTCTTATTAGAATCCGCTAGGCACTAAATTTTAGTGAATTTTCTTGTCATTGTCATGGCAGTGTGGTTCAGAAATGTACAATTATGTGACTGAAAGATGCACATACTAATGTGTTATTCACGAAAGCGAACTAATTTACGATTCGTAGTGGTATTACGTGTTCAGATTGGAAGTTCAAGGACGTGACTCAAGGTCATTTCGCAACAAGCTGGGGTCGGACCCCACTGGCCCAAACTAGAGTTTTATTGTAACCGGTATAAAATATAAATAAAAAGTAACATCGTAACCTACTTGGTATTTTACATAAAACGAGTATGCAAATATACAATTAAATAGTAGGTACTTAATTGAAATCAGTGTCTATTTATCATTAATCGACAATTAATGTTTCCAATCTAATCGACTTACGTTTATGCATACAAAAATATATTATCCCAAGAAATTATACTATACGATATCTATATAGCTTTTAAGAGGAGTGTTTATACTGTAATACGTTTAGCGTAAGATAGTGCCGGCCGGCAAACTCGCCGAGAGCCAGTTAAGGGCATAGGGACGGGAGTTAGATGAATAGGCCGAAGGTCTGGACTCACCGGAGTCGGCGCGCTCGGCCTCGTCGTCCGACTCGGTGCCAGAGTCCCGCTCCTCCACCTGAAAACAAAAACATACGCTTCAAACAGACGATCAATCCGCTACATATGCCTACCGTCACACCGCTATCAGACACGATTTTGATAGACTCGCTCTATGAAATTTGATTAAAACTTTACTGAAACCTGTGCGTAGGCTAATGCAAAGTGAAATAAGGTAGTATTTGAGCTTAATAGATGTAAATCGAGCGGTGTAGAAGCCGGCGACCGTTCCGCTCCTTTGTTCTCGAGAGCGGGCGGCCATTTTCTGGTGGCGGTGTGACCTTCACGGCGCAGAGCCGGCCGCGTCGACACCCACCTTCTCGGAAACGTTCTCCTCATTCAACGAATGCGTTCGTAGCTTGTGAGTCAAGAATTTGAGCATTATTGAGCCTCAGCTCCTCAGACCGTCCACGGCACTCACTACACTTCGCCCTCTCGCTTCTTGACGCGCCCGCCCGTCACGATGCGCTACACAAACTATTGCTTGCTGATTCTAAAAACCGTTTCACGCCTATGGAAAACGTTCTGAAACCATTGTAATTAATGACATCCGCATATCACTACGTAAGCGAGCACCCGACCGCCTCCCTCGAACGCCGGTCTACTACTAGTTTGGTTGGAGTAGCCTTGCGTACAACGCAGTCAGCTGAAGTGGGTACGGCTCATTAATACCGAAAGGGCCTAACGCCAAACACTTCTCGATTCTGTCCGCGGGACCGCTGTATGCTATCGATTAACGAAAGGATGGTCCAAAGATTCAACTGAGCACAGTATGAAATCACAAATTAGCTTAAATATTGCGTAAAATATATTTGAGTGGCACTAGAAATGGACTCGCCCGGCGACCCATTGATGACAAAGAACCGGAACACGCAGAGATCGGACGCGATTGGACAAAACATTACAGAATAGGATCGAAATTTAATGCAATATGTTGTGTCTTTGTCTAGCGGCGGAACGTGGCAGGGCGCTCGCGGTGGTGATGAAGGGGGGCCGCGTCTCGATCGGAGCTCGCCGGCCCGATGCCATTCGGCCGGCAGAGCGAGACGGCAATATGATACAGGTTCTGGTTATATAACAAGCCGGCCGCTTGATAATATATCGCTGATAAAAAGTTGCACACGCTAGCTGCTATAGATATGCGCTTTGAAACTTAAGAGCACTTGGCTCATAAATTATAGTTTCAACTAAACTTCTGAGAATTTGAGATCAAAATTAATGGAGCTTTAGACTGATCGCTCCATAAGCTCTAGAATTCTAGATCAAGATTACGATTCCGTTTTACTCTTATGCAATAGAAAATTATAGTTTTATGACAGGAATGCGTAATTACGTCAAAACAACACTATTATTTTCTAGACGCAACTATTAATAATACTTCATTAATATCTAATGTATTATACATATTTAAAAAAAATCTGAAGACTTACAACTATTGAAAATATAGACATATTCTGTATAATGGTGATAGATAGAAATGTGTATGATAGATGTATAACTATAATTTTGAACAAATTCGGTCTTATCCATATTATGCCATAAACACCGTTTCACTCGCTGTAATGAATAGGCGTACCTGCGTGAGCCATGTCTCCTTCCCGCTCGCACACTACGCACTTAGTACCCGCGAATATTCAAAAAACTTGCAACTAGAGTTGCCATTATTAGGCAAGAAATCGCGAAATAAGGTATATTAAATCAATTTTAAATTGACTTCTGATTTCTTATTTAGTACAGACTAGGATTTGGAAAAGAATATATTTACATGTAGATATTATTTTACGGAGAAGTCACTTGCATAAGTCTTACTAAATCTACACATAGAGAAAACTATTATAACTGAAGTATATCCGAACAAATTCGACTTAGGGTCCTTCAAGAAAAGAGCGTACGAATTCTTAATAGGCCGGCAACGAACTTTCGAGCCTTCTAGCAAAGTGAGTGTCCATGGCCGGAGGTATCACTTAACATCAGGCCTCCTGCCCGTTTGCCTCTTATTAAATAAAAAAAACATGTCTAAAAAGCTCTTCTTAGTTCTTCGTGATCTGTGGAATTATCTAATGATTGCAAATTCATCTCATAGCCATAGACAAAATTTGTTAAAGTTACCTGAATTCACGTCGGAATCAAAGGCTAGTTCACTACTATTTCGATCTATTGAAAGAATTTACTTTTTTCTACATTAATTTCCGGTGAAGGGTAAAAATAATAAATCATTAAGTTTTGGTGTTTGTATTCTTAACAATTAACAATGACTATCATTTTACATTATGGTTTTACATTTCTTAATCTAAACGACTCTTATTCCTAACAAAACAATAACAACGACTTATTTAAGGCCACATATTTCATACAACATTATGGTACAATAATATAAAGCTATCTCTGCCATATTTTTCCTTTTAAAAAATAATATTTATAACATTACACACTAAGGGTGTGGATTACACAATGTATGGATAAGTTCTACATAAGTTCCAAATTAGCTATTTATTACTTATTGGTAGGATAAACACTATTGTTGCGTTTCACGACTGTCAGATAGCGCTATTCGTCACATAAAGTCCATCATAAGTTATGAGTCCCATAAAGTGACAAAGAGCACAATTTATCTTACAAATAATTTATGTGTTGCATAACTATTTGGTACTTTATCCATACATTGTGAAACAGACCCTAGGTATAATGGAAACTGACTCACAAGTTGATAACAATTTTATATATTTATTTTTTTATAAGTACACTTCGTAAAATGATCTCAATCAGATCAAACAGGGATTTTTTTTTTTAAATTTTGAATAGTATTAATGAAACACAATTTTTATAGAACAGAGGGCGAACGGGAGGCTCATCTGATGCTTAGTGATACCCTCGTCCATGGACAGCAATGCCAGAGGTCTCATGAGTGCGTTGTCTGCCTTTTAAGAAAATGTATGATAGACACAAAATAACATATTAAAATTTAGATTTTAAACTGTATGACCTTACCAATGTTTGTAAACTGTTAAATTCATTACAAAGTCTCATTCATAATGATTCTCACTTATAGTTAAAATATTAAAAAAATGCTCTGGGCCACATATGCATAACAAGAAGTGTTTTAAATATAATTTTATCAATTTAATTTGCTTTCAATAAGGCACTATGGGTGGGATGACTCATTTTCTGTGTATTCAATAAAACACTTTACTATATTTACAATATTATGCATAAATTTAAGATTATATAACTATAAAAAAATGGTTGTCTGTAAAGTCCGTTTACGGACGGTAGTTTAACGTGACAACGTCATAACAAAACATTGATGAAATGATTGCATACTTTTATGAATAATATTGAATAATTTTTATTGAATTATCACTATTTTGTATGGATACAAATATTGAATCCTCGGACGCATAGGCCAATCGAGTGGAAGAGAGATAAATGCGGCGCAAGCGTACAATGAGCGTAACGGGACACTGAACGTAGCTGGATAATAAGCGTAACGGGACAATGAGTCTTGCTTTTTCTTGCGTGCATCCGGCGTTCGTCGATTAATCGATGTCACGTCAAAATTTTTTAAATTATTTGTAAACATTTAAGTGTATATAACTCTTAAAAATTGGGCGAATAAGTTCTTCTGTCCAAATCCTATGAAAGGAAGTGAAAGTTCCCGCTTTACTTTTGTTTTATTTAGCAATCATTAGTAGTGATCTTACTCGACTGCATTTATAGGTAATCTTAGGTATAATAAATTAATAACGAATATCTAATGTTATCTTTGTCAGGACACGCGCTGGAAAAGTTATTGAAACCAGACTAGTTCAGGTTTAAGTAGCATGTTCTTGTTGAAAACAAATATTAGAACGAAACAATTTTAATCCATTTAAAATATTGACATTTTTGACATAGGTACTACGACACAAGTTTCTCAATATTAACGTTCCTTTAAAACGTCATTGTTTAAGTCGCAATGTCACATACGCGCCAATAATATACAGAAACCCTAAACTTTTGTCTATAGTTGCCTGTCAATACTCAAATAATAAATAATTGCCAAAAGTAAAAATTGTTATTCATTGTTGTTTTTAACAACATTTCCACTGATAAGCAGACGTTTTTTAAGTAAAATAATGATCTAGATTATCATATTATCAATTAACTTTTAACATATCATTGACGCTACAACTTAAATTTAATAAGGCACACAAAAGAACGTTCTTCAAAAATCGCAAACCACCAATTTTGTCTAAAATTGATAGAAATATAAAAATCCTTGCCATTTACAAGGATATAGACGCAAATATAATTAAAACGCCATCTAGTGACAAATTCGGGGCCCTATCTAAGTCTAAGCCAATATTATCTGAAAATTAAATTGTCCCATATTTTGTACAGGGCAGGAAAACTCTGTTATCACACGACTTAGGGTCTGTTTCACAATGTAGGATAAGTTCTACATAAGTTCCAAATTAGCTATTTATAGTAACAAGTTACAACTGCGTTTCACGAATGTCAGATAGCGCTATTCGTCACATAAAGTCCATCATAAGTTATGAGTCCGATAAAGTGTCAAATAGCACAATTTATCTTCCAAATAATTTATGTGTGGCATAGCTATTTGGTACTTTATCCATACATTGTGAAACAGACCCTTAAGCTGCGGTTCATAACAAGTAACGATATAGTATGTGCGTTGTGATTTGAGATCGTTGCAGTGTTAAATTAACTTTTTTGTAATGTTGACAGTATTACGTCATTATAGTCGACATTAATCTTGATACTTGAAAAAACTAAATTCTAGAGAAGAACAAATAAAAAATTTAATAGTTTGTATAAGCGCCACACGGTTCTCTTTTCGCAATGCATGCTAGTGCTTCAATTCTGTTTCAAAAACGATAACAGGGTGTTGTTTTAAAGAAAAGAATAATGCTACTATTCTATTACGATAGTACTAATTAGATTTTACGTATTGTTCGAGGCTTTTGCCATCCAAATCACGTCACTCCTACAATCCCCATGTGTTTAATATTTATTTATACTAATATTATAAAGAGGTAATATCTGGATCTACAGAACCGAGTTGGTAATTTTTTTTACCAATAAAAAGCCGCGTTTGTGAGTGTCATATATTAAAAAATTAAAAGAATTTGTTCGCGGTAGTCGGATTTGGAAAGTAAGTGGCAGAGAAACGGTGGGACGAAAACGTTTCTTTCGTACGATGCTTTAACGGTAAGAGATGTATGATTCGAGTGATAAATTGTAGAACTTGATAATGACCATCAAAAAGTCAGCCACAATATCTAACTATCGAAATTGTATAAAAACAAAGCCGTGTCTGTCTATCTGTTTCTTCGCGATAAACCCAAGAACTACTGCACGGAATTTATTGCGGTTTTCACCAATATCTAGAATCATTTATGAGGTAGGTATATAATTTTTACGGGTAAAGGTTTACGGGTCACGATTGCCCGTGTGAAAACCGGGGCGAGTTTAAAAAAAAATATTCCAGTATCTCTACAAATTTGACAAGTTGTAAAGGCATAAAAGTCTTTATGATTACAGCTAAAACGATAAAGTATTTTCGTACAAAAATTTGACAACACAGTCGAAGCATGTAATGTATATAACTTCACCGTTATATTAAACAAATCAGAGGGTACTTGTATTGTATAAAATATCGGGGACAATTCCAGTTGACCTAGGGCTCGAGACAAAATCACTTTAAGGCGTGAACCACTACCGCCAAAGGATGTTTGGGTATGGTCACGTGACCAAGCTAATAAACATGAAAACATTGACTCTCCTACTAGGTAGGTTTTATAATAGATTTTCATTTACAGCTGTAGAGAACTTGTGGGATACGACTGCTGCATTTGAAAGGTCAAGTTTATTACATAATGTAAAAAATCGAGTTTATAGCCGTTATTGTCTTACGTTATGAATAATGACAAATGTATCATTTATTGTATTATAGATTTTAATCCTTCGGGAGCGTTCAAGCATTACGTCACGCAATTTTGAGATTTTGAGATACGTCGTAACGTTTTTCTGTACCCAAGTATAGTAAAACGTTTCATAACCACCTAGTGACTCTTTATACCTAAAGGTATGTGGTGTAAAGTACTGGAAACGCGAAAATAATATTAACAGTACCGCGTAATTCAATCCCCGCCCCGTATCGTAACATTTTACGAAAAATTCGTCACGTAATACTTGAACGCTCCCTTCGTTAGGTCACGTGACCTTGAGTTGAAATGAATTGTACATACAATTGCCACTAAAAAGATCACCCCTAATCTCCTTCTGTTTTTCCCGGATAAGGAATCTCGCCGCTCATGGGCGAATCGATTAGTAGTATGCGTCACGCATTTCCTCTGAAATAACGAAACTATCATTAATACACACACTTATAAAAATCTGATTTATATCTGCAAAATACGATTTATGTGGGTACCGAATCCAAACACATTTATGTGCGTTGACTCTTAAACCACAGAGGTGGAATTAGTTCAACTTACGATATTAGGTGTATTTAATTTAATTTGTAAATAATTTTACTGAATTTGAATAATGTGTATGTGTTAGTAACCATAGAGTGTATATACTCAAAAGTTTGTCATAAAATAGAAAATAAATATTATAATTAGAAAAAGTTACACAAAATAATTACCTTATATAAAGAAGAGCTGTTCAGTCAAATAGGCAGGATTTTCACGCACGTATGCGACCAGTTCTGAGGCTGCTTCCTGAAGTACTTGCAATTCCTTGTTAAGCTCGGGGTTTTCCGGGGGAGATTGGGGGGCTTCGACGGAGGGAAGCCGGTTAAGTGGGGCTTCATTTGAGAACCGGTTCTCCTCATTGGGGGGCTGGTCTGAATCGGTGGGGAAAAAAGATGGATCGAGATCTCGTAGCAAGACAAGAGCGTCTTGGGGCAACTGATAGCTGCGGTAAGGGGTCACTGTGGGTACTACGTCCACTTCCAGACCGGATACACTGTAAGTCAACGGGTATAAGATATAAATTTTGAACGTATTTAAAACCGATAAAAAAATAATTTTATAGGAAAAAATAATTTTATAGGAAAAAATAAGACCCAGCATTTAATTAATTTGAGTACTTTAAGTGAGACGTCGCGGGAAGGAAATAATAATCCAAATTTATATTGAAATGTAGTTTTTTTAAATATTTAACTTTTTTACTCAATGTCAATCAAGGCCAAATCACAAAAAGTTTAACAATTAAAAATTGATTCAAACCCCTGCCGATTTATTCACCTTACTCTCACATTAACAATAATGGAACAGAAAATGTATTATTATATTAATTTAATAATATTGACAGTTAAAGTGGGTATGCGCATACGTTCTTCATTTGGCTTCACAGTAAAAAAAAATATATCTATATGATATAACCCTGTTTTCACGGACGTCGCTAAGTCGTTAAAAAACTAAAATTTCACGTCAAATTGAATTCCTCCTCGCTTTTGATCAGTCAGTTAAAAGAGAATTAACACAATTTAGTAATTTTATATAATTGTACTCACGTAATCTTATAGAACTTGCGGTACTGCACGGTACGGTGCGCAGTTTCGTTGAGAAGCCGCAATGCGAGCGTCACCAATTCATCAGCACCATGCGGCTGACGGTACACCGCAACACTGCCTAGCAGTGGATGTTCAGCTGTATGGAAAACTTATATATAATAGTAAATATCATTTTTTTAATTATTATTATCGCTTATACATTATAAATAGACGAGAAGTACAAAAGTCACGTATATATCAAAAGTACAAGTATATATCAATAGAGTCTGGCTAATGAAAGAAGATAACGAAAAAGCGCGGCAAATTCAAAAAAAATTTGTATGGTATCCATTGATATACAAAAACCCAAGATGCACAATCAACGTCTAAAAAACGTCCTCAAAAAATGAGCGCAACATTCTTAATTGTGCGCTCATTTCAAATAGTCTCGCGTCTATAAGTGGAGTCGATGTTATTTATTTGTGTTTTTTTTATAAATAAATTTATGTACTCTTGAACTTTTTTGTGTGTAGTTTTTGACAAATATATTTACGCTATATAAAGTGTGGGTCAGGAGGTAGCCAATTTAACATTTTTTTTTAATTTAAAGAAAAAACTTTTTAACCGGATTAATGTTATGTATTATTATAAATTTACAACTATTTAACATCCAACACCTTTTGTCTTCAGTCACCGTGACCACTCACGCTGTAAAGCACCCGAAAAGTCGGATAAATTTAAAATTATGTTAAATAGTTGTAAATAAAAAAGTCATGTTCGACTCCACTCAATACCTTGTCCTACCGACCACGGTCGGTCGTAAAATTTTATTGCTTTAAGTACGTATACACTGCGTTGTAATAACAACTTTAAGCAATTCGCGTAAGGTTGATTTTGCAATAATATATGCTTGTAACATATACTGTTATGGACAGAAAGAAATAGTGTTTCGGGACACTTTCGAGCGTTACTTTTATTCGAGACTGTGCATCTTGGGTTTTTTGTATATCAATGATGGTATCCCTAAAAGTTTGATATATTTTGTGGATTAAACTTACTTGATACGTGATTTTATTTTATTACTTTTTACATTGATAGTAACTGTATTACTATGAAATTAAATACTATACGTATTTAGTATTTTACTATTGATCCTAAAAATGACTAGCATTGCATGGAAATCTAAAACCATATTTATTATAAAATACAACTTTATTCGGAATAATCAAATCCCGCGAAAGAAACGAAATATTCTATCAAATAAAACAAAGTTTAGGCTATTATACCTGTTAACTATTCGGAAAAAATATATAATAGAAATAAAAATGAGTAATTTCATGAAGTATCAAGACAATAAATCATACTAACCTACGAAATTCAATGACATTCTGTGTTGCCATCCGAAAGTTTTCAAATAATTCAATTATCTTCTTTCATTAGCCAGACTCTAGTAGGTCAGATAGGCTGACACTTTTTAAGGCGAGAGTATTTCTTGACAGGACTAACGGTTTCATACAATGACTGCGCTGTGTTTGATACAGGGTATGTTCCGATATTCACTGCGAGTACTGTATAGTGCTCCCACTGTTCAAAAATTCGTTCCGCTATGGACTGCCAGTATACAGCCGCAGCGTCCTAGGGAAATATATGACGTCACAAATCCCCGCTATACTTCTACTGCGAGCACTGGCGTTTTCGAGGTAAGGTACTCGCAGTGCTTTGATCACGTGATCAATCAAAACCACTTGAATGCCTAACGGCTGATATAACTTACAGTTTAATAACAAACATTTAAAATTCTAATTATAGAATTAGAAAACTCCTTACTTTTTCCCTACATAACCTTTGCATTATATGTAAGTAATACAGAAAGTTAATATAAGTTGAGTTATGATAAACAGACTTTTTCTAATTAAAAAATACTTACTTTCTTTGTAGTATTAATTCAATTGACAGTTAATATTAATATAGATTTTTTTAATGCAATAATACTCCAATAATAGTTTTTCTTGTTGAATTTAAAAACTTTGATGCACTCATTTGAAACCTGTGTCGGAAAACGAAGCTGACTAGTATACTGGACTGCGTTCCGTTTTAAATTGTAACCAGTATAGCTGGCTATAGAGAAACGGTTTCACAGTATACTAAATTGACGGTACTCTGTACAGTGGTCGCAGTGTATATCGGAACATACCCACAGTGACTTAGCGCGGTTTATGTATGTCAAAATCCAATTCTCATTTCTAAATCTCACCTTTAGCGCTATGAATGCCTCACGCATGATCTGACGGACAAAAGTTACACAGTACTACGTCTCGACTCTGAATTTTAAGATACAATTATCTTATACCACCTCCGTAGCGTGGAAAACGCACACATATTTATTTATTAACGTTAACGAAGTTGGAAAGGAGGGCAACTGGCGGCCTTATCGCTTTCGAGCGATCTCTTCCTGACAACCAATGAGAAAAAAAATTAGATAATAATTAATAAGTTATTTAGACAAAATGAAACTATGAATGATAACTAATAGTAAACAACTAATGGTCCGCTCGCTGCAAAAATTATAAATCTGTGTGTGGCTCATGTTGATATTTTTCACAACAATTTTTATGAATTTAAAAAGATTATTCGCGGCGAAGACTTGCAACCTGAATCACTTCTATTTTTTGTCATTAAATTTTAATATATGTATACTGTATGTGATCAAGTATAGAGTATTACTAGTTAATTTTTAGTAAACCAGCACTGAAGATGCCACTGAAATGCTGTGTCCTGTACACAGCATTTCAGTGGACTTTCGTGTAATTGGACTTTCGAGTAACATTATGTATTCACTCAATCTGTTGTCTGTACCGATCATGTAAAAAAAGTGCGTGCATACAAAGTACACATGTTAGAAGTGAAACTTCTTTGGCAAACGAATTTTTAAGTCTTGTTCATATTTATACAAATCTAAAACCTTATATTTTCGAGACTTAGAGGTAGGGACAAAAGAAGATATCTTAGAAATTTAATTGTCATTAATATATATATAAAGTTGCGAAAATGAATACAAATTATAAATTTAATTTTTTAAATTTATTTCTTCGATAATAAAAACACGTGGCATTTTAATTTACAATTCGTCATTTGAGATTTCAATAAATTATTTTGCATAAAATATAAAATACTAATATTTCATAAATTCTAATTTAAAATTTCTAATTTTAATTTTAAAAATAGAATTTCTATAAAATAATTCGCCCTTCTCACTCTCTCCCAATTGGTCTCAATAGCTCTCCCCCTTTTCTCGAATATAACGCTGCACATCTTCGTGACGCTAATATTATTATTATTATTGCGTTCCATCCATAAAAATTTTACCCTCATGCGCCTAAAGAAGTTTCACTTCAAAAAGCAAAGCAATTAATAAAACGTGTGAAAACTTAGTAAAAAGAGAAAGGGATAATAACAAAACAGGACACATGAAAAAGAAAAAATGCACATTAATCACGATAATTTCAGATCAGTTAGTACAAAAGTTAGGGATACGATGTGGTCAGGTAATGCTTGTACAGTAAAGATTTAAAGGAAGAAAGAGAAGAAGCCAAGCGGATGGGGACGGGAAGTGAATTCTATATTTACTCCGAAGAAACTCACGCGTAAGGTCCCCAGTAGCCCGATGCAGGTGTTGCAGCGCAGGTGTCTGCAATAACACCAGTCGTGTGTCAGGTGACGTCACAGCTCGTCGCATCCACTCACCCGCAGCACCTGCGACTACCGACCAGCGTTCGGGACAGTATACGTCATACACCTGGAAAGTTTATTTATGTATTTATTTATCACTTAAGCAAAGATAACGATAAGAAGAAAAATCTTCATCAAGAAGAAAAAAAATCGATTCGAAAATTATACAAAGGGAAAATTAAAGTTCAAATACATCTTGTGCTTAGGGCTTGTGTAAAGCTTAGGTTTCCTAGAAAAGCGGTGCCGTTAACTAACGGCCGTCATTTTACGGTTGTTAATAACGGCCGTCTTTACTTTTTAACATAATGCAAAAAAACATCATTTTCCTCGTCCAAGTCACGTTTCCACTTATGGTATTAATTAAATATGGGCACCACTACACGCGAAAAACGTTGAACTAATGTTTATCACCGCTATGACGGCCGTCATGCAAATGACAGCACCGCTATTTGACGTTACGGTACTCCGATGTTATTTATAGACAACGTATGGGTGACGTCCCCCCAATGTTACATTACGGCCGTTGGAGACATCCAGAGACATGATTTATGTCTGAAGAACTGAAGAATTAAATCAACAAAAACGTATTTCATATAAAATACTATTTTAAATGAAATCTACGAGTTAAATCTGTTAATATATAGTAAAAAAATATTCTCAATCCAGTATTGAAACGAAGTATTTAATTAAAAATGTTTTTTATTTACATTAATTTGTTGTAATAAAAAATATTACTATTATATAATAGTTAAGGTTTTTCTGATTTCGATTTTTTTTAATGTTGAGAAGTATATATGAAATAAAAAAAAACATTGGCGCTACAACCTTCACCAAACGAGCATATTTTGTTAAATGAGCACATAACACAAGTTCGAAACTACTACCTCAGGGATCAGCACGTCTAGGCCAACACTGCTCTAATATTATACGTTGCTTATAGGAATAGAATACTATATATATGTTTTTAAAGTTATACTTCATTAGGCGCGTTATGAAAAATTGATGAGAGTGAAAATTTACGATGCGCGCGCACCGTGACACAAAATTAACAGAATGAAGTTGCCCACGGAAGATGCTACGGCATTGGACATAATTTAAAAACAACATTCGAATAATAATAGAATTTATGTTACACTTAATGTAAGGGAATAATAATAAATATTTATATTAATTTTTCAAATGTAAACTGAACTTTATTGACTATAATGATTCCTTTTTCAGTGTTTGATTATTTAATTGTAATTAATTATTTGTATGCAATCAAAAACTATTTTTAGTAATGCCAAATAAGTATAACTTTTTATGCGCGTATATAAGTACACGCACCCTTTTTTATTATTAAATGAGTAGTATTACTACTAGCTACTTAAAAATAAGTCATCAATGAATATAATAAAAACTTTGATAACAAAATCAAACCAGTAGAAAATTTTCTGAAAATTTAAAGGTTTTTAGATGTAAGTATGTTAAAAGAGTCGTTTTATTACCGGGTCATCAGTGACACGAGCCAAAAGCGTTCTTAATGCAGCAGCCAGCCTCATAACGTGCGGGCAATCTCTTGCGTATACGAGCACTATGCGACCGCGACACATTCCTGGCGAATTCCGCTTCCATACTGATTGCATTATCCATCTGAAATTAAATTCATTCGTAATTTAAAATATCTAAAATTAAGATTTTAAGTATCATAATTATTATGGAATACCTAAGCGATATTTTTGTGTGATTGTTATGTAAAATATCGACTTTTTACTTTTTTAAATGAAATACAGAAAAAAAATTCTTATAGTAATGATTTATGTTAATGGTTAACAATATTGTTAAATGTTAAAATACATATTTAAACCCACATTTGGCCACTTGACATGATCATTAGTGAACAGATTCTAAAACAAATATAAGTTTAATGTAAATAGTCATCTAACTATTTTACTACTAATTCATTTTCGGAATAGCTTGGTTCTATGAAATTCTTACTACAAAGAAAGGTCAGTAATTATTATACATATATGGCAAAATTAATTTGAAAGTACTTGAGAGAATGATGCCACATTTATTCATCACAAAATAATTCATTTTAATATGGTCATACATATTTTGCGAAAATTATAAAACTAAACGAAATTTGATTTCAAAGTTGAAGTTCAAATACAATTTGTGTTTTATATTCCAGAGGCATTAAAAATAAATGAAGAAATCAACCTATTTCATATAAAACCCAATTTTAAAAGAAATCTATTTGTTTGTTTATTTTATTTGGTTTAGGAGTCCAAGACACTTTTTGGGTCGCAGAGGCAGCGAAGTGTATTTGTAATATTATAAATAAGTATGACATTGTTTTGTGTGTACATTTTGTTTCATTTCTAACTGCACAAAGGTCATATATATACGTAGAACATATCGATGTATCAAAAATATTTTTATATATTTTTTTAATTATTATTTAAGCATTTATACACTTACTGCATCCAGACTCTTTTGCTTTCAATACGGCGACAAATTAGCACAAGGGCAACGGTAAGTGTAAGAACGAAGGCAAGAGCTCCACAACTGATCCATAGCAGCCCACTATTGTTATGTGTAACAGGCACCGGGTTCTCTGGTTTATGCTCTGAAATTTTACGTTATAAGAGTAGTTTATGCAACTGCATATAATTAGGTATTAAAACATGAGTGTAGTTTTTATAAAATTAGATTACACGAGTGTTTTCATACCTAATTATATGCAGTTGCATGCACTACTTTATTTAATCTCTTCATTAAAAAAAATATTTAAGCGTTCAGCTGAAAATGTCTTGGCTTTCTTCCCTTTATATCCTTGTGATTTACGATCAAAAGGATATAAAGGGAAGAACGAGAAATGATACAAGTTTTGAATATTTGGTAATATCAATTTCGTTGTAAATACTGAGTGTACTTTTTATCATAGAATATTTAGAACTTATGGTCTTTATGGACGAACACTTAAAGTTATCCGATAACACTTAAAAGTAGGCTAACAAAACGTTTTCGGAAAATGAGTTAGCCTTTTTGTTCATTTTCCAAGTCATAAAGTCTTGATTACATTTGTCGTACGCTTTTCTTGATTTTTCTGGCAAAAGACTATTCGTCAGTTTCGTAGATGTTTCTAGAATGTCAGGTGGAGTTAAATTTTCATCAGTATCGTCGGTGTTGCTTGGCATTTTTGCTACTAAAGTTTTATCAAACAAAATATTACTCAAATTCGTATGTACGAAATAGCGCCAAAATGGAAAGAGTATATTATTGGTCTATTGGCTCGAAACATGCGAGTTGCGCGCGCATCGCGCTCACCACAGATAATGTGTACTTAAATTGAATTGAAACCTCCTTGGTCGGGACACATTGTACTTTGATAATTAAAAAATTGTTTTAAATCATTGTTTTGTTAGGAGAATAATGCTTTAATTTTCTTAAAGAAGTATGTAAGTTCATTTCATAATTAGAATATTACCGAATGAGATTATATAAATATATGTATAACATTGCATACAAAAATGGATTTAGACATCCCTTTCTTGAAAGAGTAACGCAACAAAGAAATTTTTCTATTATGAAATAGTCAATTTTGTGCAACTAACCAAAACTGTACTCTCTATTTGTGATAGAGTTAAATATCGATCCGGTTGTCCAAGGTGCCAAATGATGGAGCCCCATCCGATAGTCACCGTAGGGGACCCACAAAGAGCACACTATTTCAGTTTGCCTTCTGCCTACTACGGTACAATTGTCGGTTACGTCTTTCTGAAAAATATATTAAAACTTCATTAGAATTTTTTTTCTATACCCTTTTTATATTTAAGGAAACATGTTAAACTGAGTCGATCTATTATGTATTTATAAATGTTGTAGGGAATCTGGGATCAGTAGCGTAACAATAGAGTGGCGGGCTGGCAAAATGCCACGGGCCCCCGACCCAAGAGTACTATGGATGAATGTGAAGTCTCCAATACGCATTGGGCTAGCGTGGGGACTACAGACCATTCCCTCTCGCCTAAGAGAGGTCTATGGCCATTACTGACACATATACAACGTGTACTCAATTGAGTACGCTAAAAATCTCGAAGTAAATTAAACTGAGTACAACGTGACGATTTGTACTGATAGGGCCATATCAAAAGAATTTCCCACGGTCCCCAGATGGTATAGTTACGCCACTGTCTGGGATATAAAAATTATTATTTACTGAAGTAGAAAAGTTTAGGATATCATATTGTCATGCTATTATTATCTGAAGAGATTTTCAGCAAATAACTTGTTGACTACATGTTCGGGTTGTATATAACAATGGGTAAGAACGTATTTCGTATGGCTAAATCCAATCATTTTCGCTAATCAACTATGAAGGCTTGTAATCTGCAGCTATTTCTGTACAGGTAATAAGTGGGAGTATCTTAAATTTAAAAGCCATCAAATCATACTATTCCATGTGTGTCAGTAACGATATTTATTTCGATACGAATTGGATATATAGTGTTTATTGCGTTATGCTATATAATAAACAAATTTATCTATAACAGCCAAAGCTCAAAAACAGTAGCTGTGTAGGGAAGAATTGAGTGATACAGCGTGTATCGGAATACGGAAACCTGTTCTTGTTTCAAACTTTGGGCGAATAAAGAAATGATATTTTGATTTGGATTTGTTCTGCACTAGTGTTACTAGAACGAAGAAAGCCCTTTGTGATCGATACTTTGAGTTATTTAGATTTTAATATAGCTGCCTTGAGAGTTTTTTGAGCATTGGTGTGTAAGGATGTGATAATGCCTAAGTGTGGAAACTGATAATTGGCCTTCATCATATTAATTGTATATTATTGAACCTTTTTTAGCTGTAAGTTTCCCTAAATATATAAAAAAAATATAAAACTTTGTATTGCGTATATTTTAACTGTGATTAACAAAACAATTTGTCTCCAATTATTATGTAATAAAGCGTGTGTCGTTAAATGACGTAAACACTCATATTAGCGCCACGTGGGAGCTATCAATGATCTGACCTTGATAGATGATTATTAAATTACTCCATACCAGAACAGCAGTTAAAATACAATTGAAACATATATCGCAGTATGCTGCTAATATGCTATATAATGATCCAATTCAATTAACATATGAATATTATTTAGGCATTAGCTACTCTATTTTACTGGGTTTATTCCAAGGGATTTTTTATTCTGGCTGAGGATACTTGCATATCAAAATGTATTAATGAAAGACACTAGAATGTGTCTCTTTTTCCACTTGTAGAGGCAATTAATAAATTGGCAACAGTTAAAAGGTTCTAAGACCAAAATATTTTTTAGTTTTTGTTACTTTTTGTGGATTCTTATCATATTGTACACGATTTACTACTTCCTTTATAGCCACTATTGGTATCCGAAAGTATTGAGGAAAAATCTACAAAATAACATTTAATACAATAAATGATAATAAATTATCAGTGAAACAGCGAAATGTATAAACCCACAATCATCTAAAAGTTACAAATATGTAACATAATATGTTTAAATGTTACTCTATTATCGTAATATGTATAATATATATTACTAGTAAATAGGGAACTTTTGGAAGAAACCCCTTATTTTATTTTAGATATATTTTCCGTATATTTTGAAATGAATACTTTTTAAACATTACTGGCTAGTCACAAACATTAAAAATAGTATTAAAATTTTTATGGGAACAAACAGTTAACATAGAAAACAATTACCGGTAGCTGACCAGTTGAGTCCCCAAACAAATCCATTGAATACTCTGAAGCGGGTATGTAGCTCAGGAACCAGTGAACAGTCAGATGCTCACTGAAATATAAATCTTATATTGCACAAAGCACCTTTATTTGGGATGAGTCTAACAGTCTTTCATTTATATTGTAGCACATTATTTTCAAATGGTGTTGGTTATGTACCTGTATAATAAGGCTTTGACTTTGAGTAACATATTTTGACATAAAAATAGTATGGGCTAATGGCATTCTGAGGGTGAGATTAGAGACACACACAGAATTCGTAAGTACTATAGGGGTCGAGGGGGGTCTTTGATATTCGTATTTGGTGATTACGTCAACAGTAATTTTTACTTTTTTACACAAATTACTCACACATTGTCTATGCTTGAAAACAATATGCATTTTCGAGGATTTCTACAAAAAAATTATATGTTCACGTACTATTATTTTTGAGAACTTTGCTTACTTTTGCTGACAAGAGAAGCAGGGGGGGGATAAATTGCAGTAAAACTTCTTACGTAATACTTGAGCGGCCCCCAAAGAATAAAAACAAAACTTTGTATATTATATGTACTTTTCTTTACTATTGTGTATTAACAAAAACCATTCTAACTTTGATTATTAAATTCAGTCCTATAATGTGCAAGACAAGTTTTTTTTAAATTTTTCAAATAACAATACATAGAAGCCCAAGTCTTAGCACTTTCGGGGTACCATGCTCTTAAAAAAATCAGCATATACGAAGTTATCGAGCACTAATAGTGGTATAAGTTGAATGCTTACCCATTACTTTGTGTATTGACAGGACTTTGGCTGTCTGTAAAATGTTGTTTTGAAAATTCATTCTTGGCATAAAAAACATAATCACTTGGACTGGTACTGTTATTTCCATGATGAAGTAGGGTCTTTATGTGATAACAAGTGCCATTAAATATTAGGTCCAAACTTGTTGAAAAGCACACCTGGAATATTTATAAATTATATGTAAATGAAAACTGCAACATTGCTGTAAATATCCAGTGATAAGCTTAAACTTACATTTGTACAGTTGAGATCCATATTCAATCTTCTTCGAAAGAATGAGTGTTGAGGACCTCTCATCATAAGGCTATATTGGCATTCATTCTCTGACCTATTTTCAATATACCTCAAAGTCAGCTCCCAACTTGTCACCTCTTTATCACTCTCTGTACACCAATTAATATTATAACGTCCAGCAACATCTTTACTAGGAACAAAAGTCAAATTTGACTCGGAATGATTGCTACAATTGATAGTCACATATTCCGCATAACTTAAGAACCCGTTCAACAGTACAAGTACCAGTACCGTTATTATCATTATTTTGTAAAAGCTTCAGTTCATAGTCGTTTAAGTTACGTCTTCACAAGTCTGAGGAAAATTATGCTTAAATACAGTAAGAAAGCCCGTGTTAAAGGTTATCGAAAGGAAAATAAGTCATCTAAATCACGGATAAAAATACATAAAACGCCACATAGCATTGGAACAGGGAGAATCCTTTAATATATGCTTTCAACCTTAATTAATAAGCCTTTTGAATTCTTTTACAAATCTATAAGTAATATTAAATTTAATTAAGCATTTACTCTGCTTTATTTTATTTGTTTAGAGTTTTCTTAAATTAAAAACTCTACACATTACACTATTCAAATCTAAACAAGATTTGTCAATAAAGTTCTGACAACTGACGAAATGAGAATTGACCATAGGTAATGACAAAATATAACTACAGAATATTAGACGGAGGTTCGAAACGCAAACAGAAAACATATATTTTTTATAAAAATACTTTAACTGCTACTAACGCTAAACGCACCTATTGTGTCCAAAAATTATGATGAATAGAGAATTTATTATGTTTATAAAAGAACGTTCTCAAAATATTGCATGCTTTTAGAACCAAATTCATTAACAAAAATTGATTCTTGGCACCTAATTATAATAAAATTATTATAACTACATCTAAAAATAAATATTTTTTTAATACATACCATTCCGTTTGTAAGACAAGACCAATCAATAGCTGATATATTGTTATTGTTGGTTAATTTTTTTTGTCTATTTTCATAGATGATCATTCCTATTGATCATAGCAATTCACTCAGGAATTCAGGATAATAAAATAATTTTTGAAATTAGATCAGTAGTTTTTATATTGGTTTGACACAAACATAAGATCAAAGCTATAAATAATCTTTTGATGAAAATGTAAATATATATAGAGGTAGGGGTTAGGGTTGTAGGACTCCTTTTTCCGAAATTAGACTCCTAATTGGTCCGTTGTGCGTTGCAGTCCTGGCTAATTTAGCCAGCCTAGCTCCTTCCAAATGCACAGAAGTCTCCTGGGCACTTCACAGGCTTCCCGGAGCGACCTCACTGTTCCGAGGATTTTTTCACGTTGATTAGCCACAGCCTCGCATTCCAGGACTACGTGGGTGACTGTTTCCTCTGCGCTGAAACAGCCTCTGCACAAGGGGCTGTCTGTCGCGCCTAGGACAAAAAGATGTTTATTTAGGAGGCAATGACCCGTTATTGTCCCTATTATTGTTTTAAGGTTGGTTCTATTTAAGCTTAGTAGTCGCTTTGTCAGTTGCGGGTTCACTGCTGGCAGAGCCATTTTGGACTGTTTGCAGGTATTTTTTTTTTTTTGTGTTCTTGTTCATCTGCAATCGGCTATCAGCCATAATCAGATATTTTCTGAGGTTAATTAGACCATAGATAGAGGTATAAAGGATATTTAATAAATAATGTTTAAGGAATATTGTTTATTATGTTTATAGTAGCATTTCACCTTGCACCATTTTAAAATAAAATATCGTTCATACACACACTCTCTCTAATTTAAGAGTTCTACATAAATTAATAAATTATGTACTATAAAACTATTACATTCCAATTTGCTGTGCTAGCACAGCATACATAGCCAATGCTGTTAAACCAACTGCAGAGGCATGTATTGCTCGAACTGCCAACAGGGTCCAGGCACTTAGAGATAAAACACTTGCAACTGCATCTTCAAACAAATTTCTATATGGAGACAAAGCTAAAAGGGCCATAACAATAGGGTAGTGTTTTTTTGGCAAGTCACTTCTTGTCCACAGCCATACTAATGCTGCTGTTGATGCATGTTGTAGTAGTGCTACATTTGATTCAGCACAGGATCGCACATATTTCCAGTCAAATTCAGAACCCCGAGCACCAACCCACAAAAGGACACTTCTTGTGACAATTACCTGAAAAATGATTTTAGCATTACTATGTTAATCTTTATTTGCAATTTTTTACAAGTTATATTGTAAAGGATGACTACCTCAGCACTTGCCCATCCAATTGCTGCAGTCAAAATTTTTGCATGTCCTTTGCCGGGTACAGAATTGATTGCTAAATACAAACCAAGTAGATCAGCCAAATCAACTGTGGCTTTCAAAATTTCCTAAAAATTATATAAGTTAATAATAAGCATAATAAATATATCAAACAGAACCCAAGAGCTGTTAAATAGGTGTTAAGTTTTTATCTGGTTTTTGGTCTAAGATTCTACATATGATTTTTTGTGTAATGAGTTTATACAGATTTCCAAAAACACGAAGCCACTTGGTTTTCAACGCACAAACCACTAAAATTATGTATTACTGCAACACTAACTTCTCAGCTTGCCTCAATTATAACAGTATACACTATACATATAAAATAAATCTAATATATCTACAACAGTAAGTGATGTATATATATTTTAGAATCTTAAAAATAGTATGTAGGCCTACACTTATCCCAGAAAAAATTGATAACTTAAAATTTGTAGGAATACATACTAAGAAGACATCATATTCCCCAGAAGCATGAGTGTTATCATAGTCTGGAAAGAATGTAGCTAGAAGTAACATTTTACAAAGCTGAGTAAATATGTAGAGGCCTCCAGCATAGATACACTTCGAAAAGGTAGCATATTCTGATCTGAAATGACAGAAACATAAATAAATTTAGACATTTGTTTTATTTAATTAGACTAACCTTGTTATGGATTTATCATTCTTACATTCCAGAAAATTTGTATGCCATGTGATATGGTGCATAAACTAAAGCCAGACAATTACCAAAATGGTATAAAGTCATTATTTTATTTGTACTAACTACTACTATTAGAAATCAAGTATTTTTTGGTTACAGCTTCTTTTTTCTCGCCGCTCGACAGTCGACTCATATAAGCTGAAGAATCAAGATTAGGGTATTAACTATTAATCAGTCTTCAATCTCCAATGTCTTCTTTAAATAACTGTCATATGTCAATACATTTGCGTTTTGACAGTAGGAACTTATAATTATATAGACATAAAACAAAAGCCTATACTTTATTTGTGAGCATAAACTAAGACCACAGATTATAGTCATCAATTATTAAGATAGTCATTTCTTGAATTTAATATACATTATTCATTTCTAAATGTTACATACAGTAGATATATTTGTAAAAGTCTAAATATATGACTCAAAACTGTTAATTACATTCTCATACCCATGTACTACACATTATGAGAGAGTTATAATTTTAATACACATAGAAAAAATATAGATTACGAGGCCATAAAAAATAAAAAAAAAAACTATTAAATAAATATCTTCTACATAAAAAAAGTGGGTTTTACTTCCTGCGCTATAAATCCAGAACGTAAAGGGTTTATCCACGGTATTGCACCATTTGCCAAAAAAAAAACCTTTGACATTGTCAATAGGAACCTCGTATACAATGGCCTATTTATTCAATTGACAATTTGCCCAAAATGTAAAAATCTAATTTTGACCCAAAGGATTCTTGCATACCATGCCATAAAGGCCAAAAAAAAAAAAAAATGTATGAATTATGGCATCAATTTATGAATGGGCTAATAAATATAAATAATAAATTATAGGCCCCAATTGTTTTATATAATGTTTACAGTTAAGACAGGAATTAATTTTAGTTATACGAAATTTAGTTTATTCCGCCTATGTTATTGTTGTTTATGCATTCGAGGTGGTATGAATATTTATTTATTTTTGTTGGAATATAAACAAAGTACCTATAACGATAAAAAATATTTAACTTCAAGGAATAAATTATAATGGAGTTTTTCTATATATTGTCTTAATAGAATATATTCGAATTTAGATTTAGAAGGCTGTAAGTAAAAAAATTATTTTTTATTGTTTGTTAAAAATTATGTGTGTTAATTTATCTATTATTGTTTCTTGTGTCGCAATACCTTGGTGTCCTATTTAATAGTCTTAAATGAGTTACATAGCTACATATTTAGGGACTCAAAGAAAGGGATGCTAAAGAGGGGTGCGACATCAAAGGGGTAACTTTTTTAACCCTTTAGTTTTTACAGCACACGCGCAAAAGGGGTCATGAGTTTGTTATCCAATAGCAAAAAAGAGTTTTGTAAATTTAGATTTTATTTGTCCGGAGTAGAGTTGGGTCTCTCCGAGGGAACCGGGACAGGCTCCGCTTGACTGCAGTACTACAACGACTGTCATGCTTACAACCTGTCTGTTATTTGCATAGCAATTATAGACTCAATCTTTTGTAATTTAACATTAAAACATCCTCTACAATAAAACAGTGTCTTGAAAAATTTAGTTTAAACTTTGAATGGTTATGAATGCAGTGTGGATTCGGTGAGTTTTGTTTCACTTTATTTATTTATATTTTTTAATTTTTCTCTAAAATGGATATTCTGTATTTATTTATTTGTAACTTTTTTTGGGCTATCTGCAAAATAATCAAAATGACTATTTTTTTATTGTTTGAGGTTTTAGAGCTTTTGCAGTTTTGTTTCAGTATTGCTTTGAATTTTTAGTTTAAGTGCAATGCAATTTTGTTTGGTGGTTAATGTATCCACTAGACCTGCATTGGTCTGTCATTAATTAATTGCATTAGGCTTTTTATTTATAAAATAAATTGAGAATGTAAGATAATATTAATAACAAAAATCTACTTGTGTCAATATCAATATTACACTAACAATCACACATTTGAATGATTATTTAAATTGTTTCTATCTTTAACCTAGGTTGATAAGGTTCCTACATTATATAAAGTAACTATTTATTTTATTGAACATATATAATAAATACACATACAAAAAACGAAATACATAGTTCTTACTATTCAATATTTAAATTTATGTAGCCCACAACTATTTTTTGTTTAAAATTTATTAGAAAACTTATAGTACCTACTAAATAAAAAAATACATAGTTGAAATTTTATTTATAAATAATTTCGCTACAGTGGTACAAAAACTACCTACTACTAATTGGGTCACATGTTTAAGATTATTGGGCATACTCAAAGTAGTCAATTAAATATTTTTTTATTAAACTGGCTTGTGCGTTAGCCCCAAAAAAGTCGGCGTGTGACAGGCACTGGAAGTTATCACCTACTTGCCTTTTAAATTCACAAATGGACAGATCATGATACAGAAACTGAGGCCCAGAAGGTTGTAGCGCCGCTGATTTATTTTTAAGTAATTAAAGTTCTGCGTTAAAAAATCTATGTTGCAATGCTGTACGCACGATTATTTTCTAAGTGATATATGAAAACAGGGCAATAAAAACCGATTTTCCTTTACGATTGGATCTATGTATAATTTATTTAAATAAATGATTTTATTAACTCTTAAATCTTAATGAATTAAAGACTCGTAGTATTGGTGAATCGAATATTTTGGTAATTGCTAGCGGGATGTTGTAACTTTAAGTGTCTCTAATCCAAGGCCAAGAAAATCGACGGGTATATCTCGTATACATAAGATTTTCCAACACAAGATTTTAACAATAAGTTGTACAAAAAAATAGAAGTATTCAGGGTATACGGCTCACGACAACCCTCCATTACAGCTTTGTCCACTCACAATGGCGATAGAGAATAAAGAATCGAGGCCATTAGGTAAATTTCCTTATTCATTTTTTTGCGTGACACCCTCGCAGCGTGTAAAAAGCGGGGAAACTGTTATTTATCATGTGGAGATGCTCTCGAGATCTCAATCTTGAGATGGCGTGAGTTTTTTGTTTAGGTTAATCCCTATCGTTCAAGGATAAAGCTTGGAAAACCGTGTAATTTTTGGAAAAAGCTTACAATATTTCCACCGATCTCAATAAAGTTACCAATCCAATGTAATTTAATAATATTTTTACTTTTTGCAACCTTGTTAAACAATAATGCGATCGCAGACGTTTTTGCAGATATTTTGTAAATAGGTGTTCTATAGAAAAATGATTTCAATTTGGGGAAGTTCGTGAGTCGTGCATTATTCGCGTCACGCACAGTGCAGGCGAGTGCGGCCGGCGGCAGGCAGATAAGCGTGTATTGAGAAGGCCCGCGCGGGGGTCTTATCGGAAACGGCTTAGCGTGACCCCATGCAAACTCCCTAATGCGACATTCCTCACCGGCCCTCTTGCACCCTCCGGCGATCGATCTCGATGCAAAACTGTCCTCTCGGTAGGGAATACTAGTTTTGTTACTTTCCTCTAATATCCCCTTATTACTTTAACTTTTATCTACGTATTATTTTAGCAGTTTTGTGGGATATAAACTTAGTGATTAATGTGGCTATTGTGTGTCTTAAGTTAGATATCTGTAATTCGCTGTAAAGTAATCTTATTAAAAATTCGTAGATTTTTTATATAAATTTATAAGTGCAGACAACTTAAGAATTAGCCATTAATAACAAAACCTTATATCTCTAAAAATTTCATAATAATTTCAAAAATCCCATTTATAAGCGCGATACCATCGTTTCGTAAACATTATATTCTCAAGAACGAGCTTCATTCTTTATGTATAGGATACCGACGAGCGAGCATAGAATATTTGGTGGCTGATCAAAAAGTCCAATTTGGTTTTATATGCCACTGAATATTGAGCGACGGGCCGGTATATTTTCCAGACGGAAATCCGATAGGGAATGTAAAGCGTAATAACATTATTAATGTCTTTACATCAAAGACATTATGAAAAAATGCTATAAAGGTGTTAAATGTAACTAGCACATTATTTGATGTACTTTCAAATCGCCATAATGATTATAGTGGAAGTCGAATCCCCTTAGTTTCGAGTCTTTCTCCGACTTCGGATTAGAGAGGTTTGATATATGGCCGCGGGTGGCGGTAAATCAAATTTTGATTGCTATTTTCTTTGTGGAAAGTCGGAGTTGTCCGTTGGGAGATGTGGTGTAACGTGGGTTAACCGATCCCAGGACGATCAAACTCGCTTTATGTGTACGCTACCGCTATACGGAAATCTTTGTCATTTTTTAATTCTAATTTCAGAGGTATACCTACATACATACCTTGGTACATATGGGCTGTGTTGTAACTTGTTTCTATTATTATCTGTGATTAAATAAACAAACATACTACGGACTGTAATTAGGATCCCAGGAGTCTACTTTTTAGCAAATTCTAAACATTTTTGTTTGCAATAAAGTTACACTGAGTGAACGTAGCAAATTGATACAAATTCTCTGGTTTACTTAGGGCTATTGAAATCAAATTTTGTTGGATAAGTAGATTTGAGTGAACTCGGATGAATCGAAGCGGTCGCGGCTCGTGTGATCCAATTGTACCACTCGGCCTTCGGAGCTCGATCAAATTCCGACCTTTAAATATTTGAAATGGTAGAGGGTGGAGGGATGACCGAGGGAAATATTATTACACGTGTTTTCTATTTTTGGAGCAATTTATGCATAATTGACGACGGAGGTTTTCTATAGTTGGAACTTTAATAAATTATGAACTACTGAAGTACTTAGTTCCTTAAATTAAAATATTAAGACTTCCTACGAACATGCAAATTCTGGATTTGATGGCTTTTATCTGTGTACCGACTTAATAAGCGTGGCTAACGGCTAAATCACAAGAAAACTTAGGCTTATCTTCATAGTAGGATAAATCAATAGACTTTTTTACAAAATACTTTTCTTAACTTTATTCTAAAAAAACGTATGTTAAGGGAGACGGAGAGGTTTTAGAAAACAGATAAATAATACTTTATATCAATTGAATCGTATCTAAACGATAAAGGTTTGGTCTGTACAAAAGGTGTGGGTAGGGAGTTAGGGGGATAAAAAAGG